TTGCTTTGAGTTAAGCTGCATAGAGAAATCCAAGCAAATGATATGGAGACTGCTAGGAGAAAGAAAATGCAGAACTAGATTCAATGTAGCATTCCTGTTAATAGCAGGAAAAAGAAACAAAGCACAAGAAAAGAATATTTCCTCTCATCCTTCAGTTTGAAGCTTGGGGAGAGCAAGTGTTCTTAACTAAGAATTCAAATCCTCACAAAAATAATCTTTTCAAATACATTAAAAATAAAACAGACAGAATATTCTATGTAAGGATATTTCATTTGTCTTGTTCTTTCCTTTTTCTTTGAAACTTTGGTATGCCCTAAAGGGTTCCTTTGAAAATAAACTTCTTATACCTTTATGGAAGGAAGTAATTTTGTCACTTGGAGCAAGGTGTTTAAAGTCTGCAGAAAATAGGCTCCTATTCTCTCACAGAGAATGGCACAGGGATACTACAATATCTTTTTTGATGAATGCATTTTGGAGATGGCTCCCAGGCCCTGGATTATAAAATTGGGAGGAACTTACTGAAGGTATTTACAACTCTAAGATGAGAGTGGAATAGTGGTTACCAGAGGCTGAATGGATGGATGGGGGTGAGGGAGGAAATGGGAGAGGTTGATGAACAGGTGCTAAATCATAGTTAAATATGAACAAGAAGTTCTGGTGTGCTATTGCACAGTTGGGTAACTGCAGATAATGATAATGTACTGTTTATTTCAAAAATCTAGAAGAAAAGGTTCTGAATACATTCACAGTAAGGAAATAAATGTTTGTGATCTTTAATCTTATTTAACCATTGCATAATGTATACATGTATTGATATATCACATGAAGCCCCATAAACATGTACACTTAAGATTTTATGTCAGTTAAAATGTTAAGACATTAACTGAAAGGAAAAAAGTCAGTTATACATTCTAAAGTAAGTCCTCTACATAAAGGGAGGTCAATAAGAGGCCAGACTAAAGTTTCATCCAGCAAAAGAGATTAAGGTCATCTTCGTCAGTCCAAGCAGGTTAGACCACAAATTCTGTTATCCAAACCAATGGCCAATACCAGAGGAGGAGAACACGTAAGTCTGGATCAGGCTATCATGGGGCTTTCATAAACTCCCTGAAAAGATATAGAATTTGTCTCATACCCTAGGTTGGATGGGCCATTGATGTGGTGTTATTGTAGATAGGTAAGTTAATAAGTTATCTTGTAGGCAGTTAGGGCCAGCCCTGGAGGAGTCAATGTGAAAGGTGATGGAGACACATTCACTGAAGGTCAACATTATTAAAAAGAAAAAAAGAAAGAAAGGAAGGAGGGAAGGAAGGAAGGAAGGGAAAGAAAGAAAGAAAGAAAGAAAGAAAGAAAGAAAGAAAGAAAGAGTACTACACTTACTTCCCCTAGAGATAAATAGCAGTGATTGATATTCTAAGTAGGCATAAATCTCCCTAGCCCATTTCCTTTCCAACTTGTTTTCCCACTTGATCCCCATTTAATCAGTATTACCTGGGTAACTGTACTTGTAATCTTATTGGTTGATCATAGTTTTGTTCCACCTTATGCTCACCTTGTGATTTCCCATTAGATCTTATTAGTTAACTAGAGTTTTGTCCCACTTTGTACCTGCCCCACCTCGTGGCTTTGCTCCATAAAAAACCCCTGGGAAACATGGTCCTGGGGAACCCAGTTTCTGATCCCTCTTCTGTCTCTCTTAGACAGAAGCTATCTTTCTCTCAATAAATTTTTTCTACTCCTAACCTCTGTTGTTCCTAGAATTCATTGATTGATTTTAGAGAAAACAAGCTTGTGTTTTGGATATATACCAGGTTGCGAATTATAATATTGCCCTTGTTTGGATTATTTTTTCTTATTTGGATTACTTGGTACCTTATATCATTTTTGGATTGTCAGTGGTATTGCTATAAAGGAAAAAAACAGTTGTTGGCATCTAAACAAAAGCAGTGCAGTATTGTGGTGGAAACACAATTGGACCATAGAGGGGGCTGAACCATAAAAGTTGGATAGATTGAGCAGGGGAATTGAGACTTTCTGTAGGAGGTCATGGGGTCTTGGATCATCTAAAAGGTGATAATCTGCATTATAAATAGTGAGAAGGGTTTGTTTTAAATATGTTGGTTAGAGGTAACATTGGAAAATAGGCATTGAATTACTTCATAACCAAGAACTGGAGCCTGGCATTCAGTGAGAAATCCTTGTTGAGAAGCTTTTGGAATATGGTAGCTGATGACGGAGTCACAGACTAAGGATTCCCTGAGGTAGATGTGAACCTTTTATCTTCATTGTTTTCCTCTCCCAGTATTAGTTCAACTGGAATTTGCACAAGTTTGAAAAAGTTAAAGATATTTTAACCTTACTTCTTTCATACAGCATTTACTATTTTTCCTCTGAATAATACTACATTTTAGGATTGAATATTGTTTATAACCCTCTATGTTGCTGCATTTTTGTATTCATTAATAAAGCCATACTAGTAATATACAATCTTCTTTATTTTAGAATAGTTTACTTCACTTTTACATAGTTAATACATTGGATTTGTGGAATTTTGTTGTTTGATTTCTCAATGATGATATGGATGAGAAACACAAAGGCCATCATTAATATCTAAATATTACAAGATTCAGAAACAGAGTTTTACAAAATACTTCCTCAACTCTGCATTCCATGAGTAGTTATTTGTGTGATGATTTTCCCCTATTGTGGTATAAGCTCCCTCAGGGTAAGGATTAGGCCAGTGTTTTTCACAGTAGAATCTCCAGTGCCCTTTACAAAATCCCTGACTTAAACATGCCCTATGGGAATCACCTGACCAGTGATGTTCTGCTCATTAAATCTGCAACAAAATGAAATAGAAAAAAAATTAAATTATTTATTCTCAGGTGGAAAGTAATTTTACATTTATTATTTTTAATGTGATGAAATGGGTCTGTGACTCTCACCCTACAACATCCACATCCATAGCAGTGGCTAAGAAGTCCCAAAACAAAATAGCATCTCCTGGTGGCTCCTCTGACCCAGGCTGTTTAAATGTTAGTTCAGTTAAACCTCCAAAGAGCACCTTATAGAAGGTGTAATTACCACAGAGTGCAGGTGAAAATCTTTCATAGTTCACAGGGGAGAAATTTATTCACAAGTTGACAAAATAGCGTAACTAGGTCTTCTATTTCTGCTGCCACAATCCTTTCTCGGCAGTGGGGTGTCTGCTCCTTACTGCACTGGAGAATAAATAATTTACTCAAGAATATGGTGGATGTTTTCAAAATATCCCAGTTTTGATACAAGTGTAGAGCCCATAAATTAGAAAAAAGTACTATCTCTTCTATTTTAGGTGACCGAGTTCCTTTTGGGAAATCTTCTGTAGATTTATTTATAGGCACTTATTAAAATGAGATAATAAGAGATATATTAACTGAGGTTAAAAATATCTGTTAATTCCAGTACTTTAAATAATAATGAAAAGTTGGGATCACACCAATCAACAATTGAATTATATTAATATTATTAGAATTCATATATGAAAGAACATGACATCATGCTTGTTTTATATGGCTACATATGAGACCAAGACAATGAAATAACATATTTATAAATGAAAAAAAGACTATATTACAAAAATTTGATTGAATATCAGAATAAAAACATGTACATATGTCTCTATGTGTGTATGTATATAATTTTTTAAACTGGAAAATATATTTTAATGTATGCTTAACACATCTTTTATTTGTGAGACTTCATGTTTGCCTTGGTAACTATTTTTTGTTTGTTTGTTTTTGCTGGGACAAAATACCCAATACCTGCAACTTACAGGAAGAGAAATTTGTTTTGGCTCTCGGTTTCAGTCCACAGCATGATAGCTTTAAGGGAGACACAAGAAGGCAGAGTGTTACGGCAGAGAAGACTGTGTTCAACCCATGGCAGCCTTGAAGCAGAGAAAAGAGGAGCCAGAGACAAGAACACAGCCCTCCAGGTCATGACTCCAGCAACCCACCTCCACCTAGGCCCAACCTTGTAGCGAACTGCACATTCAGCTACTGAACTCATTAGTGCATGAATCCACTGATCAGTAAAGAAACTCCACAACCCAATCACCTTCCCAAAGCACCACCTTTGAGCTCATGAGACTTTTAGGGAGATATTCTAGATCTAAACCATAACAATGTCATATTTCTATTTTTATAGTTTTGTTTTTCAAACTTCTAAGTGAATATATATTTCCTTTGTAAAAGGAAAGTTGGTCTTTTTAGAAAGGAAACTAGAGGCAAGAAGTTTGGCCACCAGGAGAAATGAAGCTGTGAGCACATATCCTCCCTGTTAAAACAGCAAGGGTTGTGGATTGCTACAGGGACAAAGCCACAACTGCTGCACGTGGCTTCCACAGACTTCATACATCATTGAAGACTTGTGTGCCAGCCTTCTGCTCCTTAGGTGTTTCTACGTTTTTTATTTTATCCAAAAGCACTAGTTATTCCTGTGGAGTATGCTATGATTTCTCTGATATGCTCTTTGCTACTATAGTTTTCTCACACTATTGCTTCTCTTGGATTGAGGACCAAGGACTTCCCTTTCCCATGATCACTTCTCACTAAAGTCTTCTTCAACACCCTCTGCTGAGGGTTGATCTTGACTCAATCTGAAGGCTAGACCCCCAAGGGCCTCCTTGACCAGCACACAATGCCTCAGTGCCTTCCCTCTCCTACGAAGCTACTCAGATTTCTCCAGAGACCCTAACAAGTGCACCTTAAAGGAGTAGCACCAGCACAAAACAGCATATTACATGCCTCTGGCTTTCCTCCGTATTCCAAGGTGGGTCAAGTGCAGCATGGGGCACGGGGAGAGGGCCTTCTGCATTGTACTTTGGACCTCTCCTTTCTCGTGCTGCTTCTCTATTTCTGGAGAACCTAGGGAATATGTAAGGGTGAGATGGAGGGGGGCTTAATAAACCATGGTTTCCAAATTGTTTCAGAATAGGCAGAGCAGGCAAAGTTGTCCAATTGTCCTGAGAGTGAAGCACTCTAGAGACAGGGCAATGTCTCCAAATATGTCCATGATAGCATATCAGCAATGAGTTTATATAACTTACCTACTTATATGTAAGATAAAACCCTAGAGGATGGAAAGCCAGGTCACCGTTCAGGATTAGGAACCCAGAAAGTGTGCTCCTTTTTAAGACATCTAAGATACTTCACATTACAATAATAGAATTATGCACATAGAATAACTTCTGATGTATTTCTACTTTCTGAATATTCACAAGTCTTTCACTGAATTCTATATTTTTAATCTCTCAGTCTTTAAGATGGTTAATCTGGTTTAACTTTCCCTACACACTTATTTTTGAAGAGGGGCAGAATAGGCTTTCTGCATGCAGTGCACAGTAGATATAATAGGCAGACTGAAGATGGCTGTTAATTTCAAAAATAGTTTTAATAATCTGTTTCTGTTTTGTTGATTGTATTAGAGGACAACACTCTGAAATAATACTTAGAGCATCGCTTCAAGGAAACACCAGGAGAAAAAATGGCCAAATCTTTCCTGGTACTCTGCTCACTTTTGGTCTTCATCATGATTCATTCTGCCTCACCTTTCGGTGAGTAATGTGGCTGTTCCTGGCAGGCATGTAAGGTTGATTGGTGGGATTTGAAAATGCTTTTAAAAAACTTTTTAAAATTATTAAATGGCCTATATAGTATCCAATATATGCATATACACATATGTGATCTATATAATAAAGAGGTACAGAATGTGTTCAAAAAGACAAAAAGACTCTAGGCCAATGGGAAGACACCTTCTTTTTCCCATCTATTCCATGCAGATATGAGAGGGGCTTAGGTGATTCAGTGAAATAGTATATGAAAGAGAAAAGCAATATGCACATAACAGAGCAGAAATTAAAACTATTTTATTCTGCCAAAACATTAAATTGTAATCTCAAATACAGGTTGGTTAGTGTTAATCAAAACAAATATTTGGTACCCTAGGCTGGAAATCTGTATGAGAGTGTTTTGCATTGATATAATACCTTCTGATCATTCACAGTAGAAGCATTGTGTGTGTGTGTGTGTGTGTGAGTGTGCATGTTTTGAGACAGGGTCTCACTGTGTAGCCCAGAGTGGTTTCAAACTCACATTGATCCTCTTGCCTCAGCCTTCTGAATGCTGAGATTACAGGCATAGCCCACCCTGCCAGTCTCCACAATTAAGAAAAAAATAAATGAATACATGTATAAATGAAACAATGCTCTCAAATATTGCAAGACTCCTTGATAATAAATTAGAACTATTTTATTCTGCCAAAACATTAAATTGTAATTCTCCAGGGATTAGATTCTGTAACCATTTTTATGTATTCTGTAGTTTCAGGCCGTCGAGAATGGTGGCCACCACATGGAACTATTAAGGTGCTCTTCCACTAGATTTCCCAGGAGTAAACTTCTCATCTGTGTTTGTTTATTTCTGATTGTTATTTTGGAACACGACTTCAGCGAGAACATCCATGACACTTCAAGACCTAGTCACAGGAGGTTGCCGGGTACACTGTTAGTTTGGGAGCCCAAAGCAGAGTGATCCAGACTGGGAACGAAGTTTCAGGCTGTCCAGAATGGTGGCCACCACGTGGAACTATTAAGGTACTTTTCCACTAGATTTCCCAGGGCTAAACTTCTCATCTGTGTTTGTTTTATTTCTGATTGTTATTTTGGAACATGACTTCAGCGAGAACATCCACGACACTTCAAGACCTAGTCACACGAGGTTGCCAGGTACACTGTTAGTTTGGGAGCCCAAAGTAGAGTGATTCAGACTGGGAATGAAGCCAAAATTCAGTCACATGTACACCAGAGAACCCCCACAGGATCTGAAAAATGTTTATGAGTCTGACAATTGCCAGGGCCATGACAGATTTTCAGATGCTGTAGATTCCGGTGTTACCATGGTTCCTGACTCAAACAGCTTACCATTTGGTGCAGGGAATGCTTCTGAATGTCCTGAAATCTACAGAAAGTGGTACATTATGAACGGGAAAAATAGCATCTGGGATACAGATGGAGGATATGTAAAGGAATAGAAATTTTCTATTTGAGGCCTGTACCGTGAATAGCACTTTGGCCTAGAAAGTGCAATGAGGTTCTGCTGAAAGACAGGTCCTGGAAAGTCCTCAATGAATATAATTTCAGTTTTCCTTTTTAAAAGGTCAATCATGAGTTGACTGATAAGAAATACATTTTGAGGGAAGCTTGGTCCTAGTGCACTGATCCTAGTGCAGAGCCTATCAGAGGTTACAGTTCCAGCAACACATTAAATAGAATTTGTTCAGGATTCATACTCTGAGCTCATAAAGTTCAGATCTAGAATTTTCCTCTCCAGAAGGCTGCCTTCAGAAGTACCTCCCTAATTATACTTATCTTTTCTTATTTTCTTTTTTCTTTCTTTTCTCTGCATGCACATGTGTGCATGTGTGTGTGCAAGCATGTGTGTGTGTGCATGCATGTGTGCATGTGTTTTACTAGTAATGGAACCCAGAGGATTCTCAGTGTGCTACATTCTTTCTCTCTGTCTTTTTTTTTTTTTCTTTTTGAGACAGTCTTGCTAAGTCACTGAACTGCCCAGTCTGGACTTCCTCTGCCTCCCAGAGTGCTGGTTTTTTCCTTTAAAAAATATTTATTAACTTTCTAAATTGATCCCTGATTACAATTGAGCCCTTTTTAATTGAGCCCTGTCTGAGCATGGTTGTAATTGCACATTGTATTACTCTCGATTTTAGATCAAATGTCCTTATAAGAGAGTAAATTTGAGTTGACTCCGTGGAACAATGGACCTGTGTCGTGGCCTAAAACAACCTATCTGTGGCACCAGTTCTGTGACCTATGACAATCCCTGAAGCTTATACATTGAGAGCTTGTGAGTATTATTTGGGGAAAAGAAAAGAACTATGGCTAAGATTGTCCATAGCAATTAGTATCTACCTCTCCTATCAAGTACATACCCTTGAAATCAGCAATTTGATCAAGTTTTCCCAAATAGTAATCAGGTTCCTCTTAGAAGAGCACGTTAACAGAAAGTCTACTGGAGAAGAAAATGGACTCTACTGAATTTTGTCCCTCAGATTCTTTCTTTCCCTGAGCTCTCAGATTCCTTCATGCTTGTTGATAGATTTCTATGTGACATTCTTAAATACCCCTTCAAGCCCTCAAATTATTTGATTTCAAGACAAATTACAGCTTGCCTTCTCTTAGATATTTTCAATTCCCTATATATCTGAAACTCTGAAGTAGATTGAGATAACTGCAAAGTTTGTGTTCTTTATTTAGGATTCAGAACTTAAATTTTTAGCTTCATATGACATGAAATCTGAGCTTAGACACTGAAATCTCAAGTCACAATGATTTCAGTTTTGATCCCTCTATGAGCCAGTGCATTCTGCAAGGAAAAGAAAAGAAAACTTTCATTATGACATCAAACTGAAGCTGAGGACTGATATAGCACTTACATATCAAAAGCTCAGAATCATTTATACAACTTATTTTCAAAAACACCATAGCATATATCGTGATGTCTTAGAATCATGAAAAGATGACTGAGTAGGAGAATTAAAAACCTCCCTTCTGCCTTTAGTCAATTCTTTACTTTATAATCTGGATCTTAGTTTGCTCAAATATAAAATAAGGGAGGTAAATAAAAGTATTTTGTAGCTCATGACATAACAAATCATTTATTATGGCCTTTCCTTTAGGAAATCCCTTGGAAGAATTAAGTTTCGTCATGATGGCAGTTGCTAGCTGAGTGGATTTGGATGTGGAAGATGACTTCTTTTTCTTGCCATCACAACAATTCTCCTCTTACACATTGTCCCTCCTCCATCCCTTCTTGCATGTATCTTGGTGACAGACAGCTGCCATTATTTATCTCAAAGTAAATAGCACAAGGTTCCTTTTCAGACTGCTCCTCTCATTGACTCACTGACTTCTACACTTTCCCAAATAAAATGAACTTTTCTGGGCTAGCTATGTAGTTTAGTGGCATGGCATGCTGGAGGTGCTGGGCTTAATCTCCACCATTACAAATAAATAAATAAATGAATCAATAAAATAAATAAATAAACTTTTCTGAAAGTTTGATTTGACTTGTGTCTAAATTCTGTGTATCAAATCTCAGAAGTAGAACAAATCGCACATTTGAGCTGTTAATCAAAAACAAATGTGATTAATCACCTTTCTAATACTGTGAACAGTGAAGTAATCTACGTCAAGCCTCCAGTCGTGTTTACCATAGAGCATGACCAAAATTCCTTCTATACTTCTCGACTTTAAAAAGCTGTTGCCGAGTTTCTACAGTGTCCACATTGAACATCTTTGCATTTAGGTTCAGCCTCAAGGCAGAGCCACTTAGATCTGTCCAGCTCAGCTCAGCTGGCACTGCATCTTGACTGGCCCCTCTTTTCTGCATAAAAGGAAGCCCATATTGTTGCTATGTATGAACATTCTATTGGTCATTTTTCTTAAATTCTCTAAGCATATATTTTAATCCTTAGCATATAGAGTTTTTTTCTCAATTCTACATCCTCTGGGCACACAATTGTGTGCCCACACATACACTCTCTTAATGTAGAGAGCAAACCAATATGCATTAATACTCTCTCTTCCACTCAGTAGCTTGCTTCCTTCTGGATGTTTGGGATACCTCAAACACTCTGCTTCTCGGTAGTCTTGGAAAGTTGTGGTTAGCCTTGGTGGACACATGTTGAATCCCTGGTTCCAGTGAGAAGGAAATCACCTTTCGTTACCTGTGATCTAGCATATTTACAATATGAAGAATAAACAGCTCTGGGGAAAAAGAGATATTCCTTGGCTTTATAGCATGCCAACTTCCATTACTGAAAGTCCCTATCTGTGTGGGAACAGGAGAACTCCAGATGCTTCCAATGCTATTGTTCTCATTTCATTTTTGTAAGTCCTTTTTCATACAACAATCAATCACATCTTAATGTCATCCAGTAGGTTTTTCTTCTCAAACAATCATGACCACCAGCCTCGCATGTGATTTTGCTGTTATCTCTAGTGCCCTCTAGCTCTTTCTTGACTTTGGGTAGTTTCCTTACACACATATCAACCAGCACCAATCAGTAATTGGCTTGGAACTCTTGTGGGCCTGTAAGCTCTGGTCACTTTGGGCTCTCTTTCCTTCTCAAATCTGTATCCTCAGCTCAAGGGTGCTCCACCTGGGCTCTTCTTTTCTGCTTCTAGAATTTCTCAGAATACAGTAACCAAGGCCAACCACAGAGTTAACATTTATTTTTCCATCTCTTGGAAATCAGTGTATTTTAATGTTTACAACTTTTGTGTTATTGTTTCATATATTTTGTCTGATATTTTATTGTTTTAGGTAGAAAAAAACATGTGATTTCTCTTACACCACACTGTCTGAAAGGAGTAATTTTACTCTGCTATTTTACTTACAGTGGACCCTTGACTTACGAATTCAATTTGTTCTTGAGAGCTGGTTGTAACTCAAGTTGGTCAGTTGAAGGCTGAAGCTGCTCTACACAGCCTTCAAAGTCTCTCTCCTCTATACAGGCAGATCTCAGTGACCTTAGAGAGACATTGGCCCAGGATTTCTCAGTTAACCCCACACAGGAAAGGATGTTGCAATGTTCCTTCCAGAACTCTTTCAGGGTTAAATCTGTATCTGAGACCATCTTGAAGCACAAGCAGCTGGATTGTAACTCAAGACTTTGTTCGCAAGTTAAAACTAAAATTTTGGTTGTAACCCAAGTTGTCTGTAACAGGAAAATTTAATGTATATTTTTCCCCTCTTATTCCTTCTTACAGCTACAATATAATACAATGTTACTGCTCTTTTTGTAAGAATTCAAAAGGATAAGACTAAACTTTGTAGTAACAGAAATCTTTTTAGTGGATAATAAGGCATTCATTTAAATATGCCACACACAACAAAAAGTGGCTTTGATATTTGCTTTTTGATTACAGACATTTTTGAGGAGGTAAAGGTCAGCATGTATGTAAATGCAAGACTGTCTTCTAGTGCAATTGCTGATTATAATTTTCACACTTACCACTGTCAACATAGAAGTTCTCCCTTAATAGTCCTAACTCTGATACCACTGCCCTCCTCCCCCCCTTCCCCCCCTCTCTCTATCAGTACCCAGTATCTTATTTGACGCTAAGAAGATAGTAGCTTCTATTTTTAGTTTGATATCCTTGGTTAATCCCCCTTTCTAAAAATCTTCTAGCTATTGATCAGTTCCAGGTTTTGCGTCTTCATCTCAATCATCCCGTACCTTCTTCTTGACAATCAAATTCACATCTGTAATTACTCTACTGCCTACATAACACTCGTATCTAGATTGTAAGACCTTTGCCATTTTCTTAGCATCAGAAAAAGGAAATTCTAATTTCATTGGCTTATGAAATCTTTAGTCACTATAAATTGAATATAAGTCCTGGTTTTCCTTTTTTCCCAAATGTATTTTGATGTAATAAATGTTAATGGCATTACTCCCTAAGCCTTATTTCATTGAAACTCAAATTCAATATATAATTTCTATACATTTCTTCAATCATATTAAGTGTTAATCAAACCTACAGATATTTATTTAATCCAAGTTATGTTTTCATAGGTTATTTTGGTATGACCTTAACTGTCACTTCCGCTTCCATAATTCTTTGTCTATTCTATAATCATTTAGATATTATCTGTTAAATTACTATCTTTTTTGAGTGATAACACAAACTACCATTTTAGGGTAATTTAGAAGACACTTTATTTGATCTACTACTTACACTCTAAAGACGAACTTCAACCATCATTAACTTATAAGAAACCCTAATTTGTCCATGAGGTGGCAGTAAAGGATTGTCATTTATACCAACTTTGAAACGATTTCAGCCAACTTGCTACTTATGAACACAGTAGTTTTGGGCAGGCTGCTGACAGGAAGAGCTACAGATTTCCTATCACTTAGCAGGAAGATATCCTTCTTTCCAGGAAGGTAAAGACTCTGCAGATACTCCAGGTTAGCTCTGATTCATGTCTCACATTTGGTAGGAGATGTGGGGAAAGTCTCTAATTAATTGAATATTTCTAATTAATGGAATGCTTCTAACTAAACACTATTTTCTGTGGAGCTCATCTTTATTTTCTAATTAGGTCCTTTTTACCACCAAAAATAAGCTAATCCAAAGATGGAGACTTCGGGATCTATTTTCCAAACAAAAATTAAGAATGACCTGGGTATGGGCCTATGTAAGCCAAAAAGGTTTATTATTGCTAGAAATAACAACCAAACCAAACAAATTTCTATTATGCTTAATTTTAAAGATTTTATTTTTAAATTTCAATTACTATTATTCTTGACAAGTTATAAATATATGTACTCATGAGGTACAATGTGATACTCCGACACATGTATACATTGTGGAATGAACAAATCAAGCTAATTACCATATTCAACACTACTTATTTTTGGTGTAAAATATTTGAAATACACGTACTTGTTTTTTATTTTAGTTTAGTAGCTCATGTATGCAGTACGTGTTTATATTCCTTGTGTGGAGTTGGTACAGGTACATAACACACCTTAAATCTTTTCTTCATCCCCATCCCTTTCCTTCTCCCTTCCTCCGCTTGGCCTTTGATTCCTTTTTTTTTCTTTTTGTACGTTTGCAGTACATAATGTTTATATTTCTTGCGTGGAGTTGGGACAGGTATATAACACATCCCCATTCATTCTTTTCATCACTTATCCCTGTCACCCTTCCTTCCATCTCTCGATCCTCTTCCCCTTTGGGAAAAAAAGATTCTTTTACTTTGAATACATTTATTCTAAGATGTTTTATTTACTTTTAAATCATGATAAATGGGATTGTTCTCTTTATATGGCTCTTTCTTTTAGTTTACCTAGATAGTATCAATTTTAGGATTCCATTGTGAATATATACCGCAATTATATAACATCAGCTGGAATTATTGCCTTGTCATTATGCTTTTTAGCAAATTAAGTATGGTTTAAGGAGAGATGAATGGGTGTTAAGTTGGAAAAGTGTAGATTCTTGATGTTTAATCTTGACTGCTATGTAATGGGATCGAGGAGCACCTAGGAAATTAATAGGGCACATTCTAGCTGTGTCAGGAGGGATGATTGGTGTAAGACATTTACTTTGGATGTGGGCAGAACTAGCCAATAGGCTGGGTTCTGAGGTAGAACAAAAGCACAAGGGGGAAGAATGCAATCCCACGCTCCCCCTCCTGGCTTCCTGGCAGCTCTGAGGTGAACAGATTTCCTGTGCTACACCCTGCAGTCATGATGTTTCTGTCTCACAAGATGGATTGGAACCTCTGAAACTACAAACCAAACACACTTTTCCTCTTTTAAATTGCTTTTTGCAAGTATGTTGTCATAGCAACAGAATACTGAATAACCAAGCATTCTTGGCTTCTTCATCAAAAATCAGTGGACTGTTAGTATAAGAGGTTATTTCTGCACTCGATTCTGTTCCATTGGTCCATGTGTCTGCTTTTGCACTATCAATCTGTTTTAGTTACTATAGCTTTGTAGTATATTGTGGTACTGGCAGTTGAATCAGGCCCTTTACACTGAGCTATATCCCCAGGTTTTTTTTAAGTTTTTTTTTTTATTTATTTTTAGACAGAGACTCGCAAAACTGTTAAGTTGCCCAGGCTCAAATTTGTGATCTTCCTTCCTCAGCCTCCTAGAGTGCTGAGATTAACATATTGCAATCTACAGATTCAACACAATCCTCATCAGAATACCAATGTGGTACCTGCAGCTTTGTTATGTTTGCTCAAGTTGTTTTGTCTGTCCAGAGGCTTCTGTGATCTATGCAAATTTCAGGATTGTCTGTCTTACTTCTTTGAAGAATGACACTAGTATGTTGCTAAGGATCGTGTTTAATCTGTAGATCATTGTGGGTAGTATGGACATTTTAACAATGTTTATTTTCCCAAATCCATGCACACCTTTCCATGTATTTATATCCTCTTCAATTTCTTTCACTAATGTTTTAGTTTT